CTGGCCGAAGCCAGGCTCATCGAGGACGGGCCCAATTCTCCTCCCGGTTCCTCCTCCTCCTCCTCCCTGCTGCTCCTTCCTGCTCGTCCTCCCTGCTGCTCCTCCTCCTCCCTGCTGCTCCTTCCTGCTCGTCCTCCCTGCTGCTCCTCCTCCTCTTCCTCCTCCTCCTCCTCCTCCTCCTCCTCCTGCTCCTCCCTCTGCTCCTCCTCCTCCTCCTCCTCCTCCTCCTCCTCCTCATCCTCCTCCTCCTCCTCCTCCTCCTCCTCCTCTTGCTTCCTCCTCCACCTTCCTCTCATTCCCTCCTCCTCCTCCTCCTCCTCCTCCTCCTCCTCCTCCTCCTCCTCCTCCTCCTCCTCCTCCTCCTCCGTGGAAGTTTTGACTCGAGTAGGGAGCAAGGAGGCTCAGATATTTGAGTGTGGCAACGGGGAGTTTCGCCCCTCCTGCGATCTTTGAGCCGTGCGTTCAGGAACTGTCTCCACTCACAGGCACTGCTGGGCCTTCTGTGTATTCTCTTCGCTTGGCGAGCTCCCGCCGGAGCTCACGGGCAAGCATGACAGGGACGACTACATCTCTTGCTCGGCGTGCAAGTATCGGTGGAACTGGAAGTCCCGTGCTTGCCGCTTCCAGTGCAAGGCCACGTCGGGGCCGCTCGAGTCTCCCTGGAGGGAGCCGCCGGCTGGAGCGTGGTCGGGGCCCAGCGGTGTTGCAGCGGCGGCGGCAGAGCTGCCGCAAGTGCCTCTCCTGGCCAACGGTCGTGGGGATCGCCGCCAGGCGGGCTGGCGCCGCCTAAGGGCTCTACGCCACCCGAGCGCGCCGCCACGGCGAAGGACGGCGGCCTTGCCACGGCTGACAGCCTCGCGGAGCTTAAGGACCGTTTGGGCAATGGCGAGGCTGGCCGTGCCAAGCACGCCGTGCTCGAGGATGCGGTCGGCGGGCCCCGGCAGCAGCCGACGCAGCCTGCCCCCAGCGCCAACTGCTCGAGGCCCCCGTGTCGGCCAAGGGCGTGGCGTGCAGGCGAGCTCAAGCCCACCTGTGTGTGCCATGGTGGCTCGCGAGACCGAGGCGGAGCAGTGGAATCAGGGGAACAAACAATGACAAGAACATCACAACTCGTAGGCCCGCGCAGATTTCTCGGATCGGCGCGGAGCTCAGAGTTGTCATGTTTGCGTCGTTGTTGTCTTCCCCGTGGTGCGCAGACAGCAAGGAGGCCACCGCCGAGGCGGCGCTCGCTGTCTCCGCCGCGACAGCGGGCGCGGCAGGAAGCGCATGGAACCCTGGAGCTTCAAGGCGGGTGGGGGGCTCCATCTCGCCCGATGCCGCGTGCTGCGGGCAGCCGTCGCAGCGGGGAGGGGGGCTCTGAGCAGCGTTTCGTCTGTGCCTAGCGCCACGGGCGTGGCATGAGCCCCACTGGCCGATTCACCCCCCTAGGCGAGGACACGGGCTGTTCCCTTCGGGCTTCGAGGGGCATGTCCCCAACTGGGGTGGTGGGATGGTGGGGATGGGGATGGGGATCGGTTAAACGATACGGAGGCTGGCAAATCAACATGCCCCAACTCCTCACAAGCGAAAGCGATGATACTGCGACGGCATCAACGTCTTCTACGACTGGCAGGGTGCGTGGGCTACGTGGGACACCTGGCACAATGACTCCCGCACCGAGGAGCTGAACGAGAAGTCGCGCGAGCTTCTGGCCCGGGCGTCGCAGGGCATGCAGGGAAGGAGTGTTGGAAAGGGGGATGCACAAAGGTGGCGGAAGGCGCCGGGGGGACTAGGAAACGGCCCCCAGACTAGTCTCACCGGCAGTCGGCACGACTGCCCCTATGAACATGTACACTCACATGCACGTTACGTACCGGCGCTGGTTGCGGGAGCCCTGGCTTTCGAGGTGGGCCGCTGCACCAATGCGGACACGATGTTTGTCTTGCTTCTCGGAACGTGGATGGGGCTGACTGAGGCGAAGGTGGAGGGGCTCCAGGAGCACATGCACGCGCTAGACATCGATATCCTCGCAATGCAAGAAACGCACAGGCACGAGTCTGTTCACAACGTTACTGACAAGGATTTCTTGCTTATTCTCAGGAGGCGCTGACGATCCCGGCACGGCAGGAGTCGATTTCCTAGTCTACCCTCGCGCCAGGAGGAGCGTCATCGGCTTCAAGATGGTGAGCGCGAGAATCGCCTCCTTGAGGTTGCGCGTCCGGGGCGGGAAAATTCAGATTTTTAGTATTCACGCGCCTCATAACGGGAAGCCGTACGAATGCAGACAAGATTTTTACCATCACAGCTCGACAGCGTCATCGCCGGTACTTCCAAGCACGGGCACGCCGTGGTGCTGGGCGATATCAATACCAGGTTGCATCGACGATTCGGTGGACAAGATAATTATTTAGGCGATTACATATTCGGAGATGCTCGTGCCGAACACAACCCGTCCTCTAACCGGAGCTTGCTTCTAGAACTCTGCGAAAAGGAGGGCATGGTCGTCGCCAACACGTTCTTCGACCACCCTCCTGAGCACCTGCTACAATGTGGGATCGAAGCCGGGGAGCCTGGCTACCCCGCAGCATTTTGGCCAGATCGACTTTCTGTTGTGCAGTGCTGATTGCCTTCAGCGCGTCGCAGATAGTCAGAGCAGGCGGGATTTTGCACTTGCCTCAAACCACTTCTTACTGCAGTGCCGCCTTTGCCTGGACGTCGCGATCTCCAACAAGAAGAGGGGCCTGAAGCTGGCCTTCTCGACGCTGGTAGACAGACCAGGGCAGCTGCAGTTCAGCGAAAGCTTCTGGCGCAACTTGCCAGAAGCATGCCACGAGCAATCGCTGAACGAGCTGACCACTGCCATGGTGAACGCTTTCGCGAGCGCTGCTGCTGAGTGTCTTCCCCGCGTGCCGGTGTCAAAGAAACAGCCTTGGGTCAGCGGCGCCACAGAAGCAATTGGCTCGACAAGCAGCAGGAGACCGGTGATTGGGAGCAGGTGCGGAAGCTCCGAAGACCGCGTGGTGCTGTGATGGGATAGCACATTTGTCAGACTAGGTTCAGCACTTGTGTAGCATAGCAGGTGTGTATCCGTGATTTGCCTAATGTTTTGGCTCAAGGGAAAACATTGCCCAATCCTCCTGCTGCCACAGTTGGTAGCGGAGCGCGGTCCGGGCGAGAGGCCATGGGTGCCGGGCAGCAGCCTTTCCGGTGAGCTGTCCCGTCGCTTGCGAGCCCTCGCCCCGGCTGCGCTCTGAGCGCTGGGTGCGTGAGGGGATCCACGGCATGTCGTCCCAAGACGGGACCACAGGGGACGAGCAGGAGAAGACGAAGGTGATGGAGGGACCAGGCGGGGGGAGCGCCAGCGGCGCGGCGCCAGGTGCCACTTCCATCACCATGACGCAGGAGCAGTGGAAGGCCCTCGCCCAGGACATAGTGGATCGGACTATGTCAGCAGTGCGGGCCGGCACGACCACAGGGCAGAGCACCGAGAGCTGGAGCGGCTGGAACGACCACGCTCGAAGAGCGACGGCGGCCGCAGACGGAGCTGGCGAAGATCCCTGGCACTCTGCGCGAGGCGACCCGTGGAGCGGGAACGACCAGGCGCGAGGGAGCTCGGGGACGGCGGCCGCCGAGGCGGCGGCGACGGGCGAGACCGGCGGCCACAAGGACGGCGACTGGGGCAAGAGCGGCTGGGCAGCCGGCAGCTCCGAGTGGGCTGGCGGCTGGGGCTCTGGCCAGGACTGGAGCAGCAGTTGGTGGCATAGCGGCTGGAGCCAGCCCAGCACGAGGGGCGACTTCACCGACCCGCTGGCGTGGCCTGGCTGGACGCACTACCGCCTGTGGAAGCGCGCTCTGCGACGGTGGAACGACAATACGGATGTGGCGCTGTGGCGCCGAGCAGAACGATTCCTGAAGTTATTTGACTGGACGATGCAATCGAAGTTCGAGGACATCTCCGATCGAGACCTAGCTTCCTCCTCGTGGCTCGACATTTTGTTGGCCAGGATGGACCTGCTGATCGGAGAGCGCGAAGGGGACGAGCTTCGCCGAGCCGGCCGCAAGGCCTTGTTCGAGGCAGCTCGCGAGAGCAAGGGGTCCCTGACGCAGTACGTATCCAGGCGTGAGGCGCAGCTTCAAGAAGCAGAGGGACACGACTTGTGGATGTCGCCGAAGCTGAAGGGCCTCTTCCTCGAAGAGGGTGCTGGGCTTTCGGCCCAGGGCACACATAATCTACGGACATTGACGCAAGGCAAGATGGACTACGCGGACATCGCGTGGGCCCTTCGCCAGATGGACTCGTCCGGCTCTGAGAGACTGCTACCAGGTCGAGCAGGGGCCAGCGCTATGGTAGAGGGCGCGGGTCCCGACGTGTATCCTGAGCTAGGCCCTAGGGTAGAGCAGTCTCCCTCCTCTTCCTTCCTCCACCCCTCTGGTCCGGTCGACGGTGGTGGTGAAGCCAACCTGGAGTCAGAGGACGAGGACGACGGCTACGACTACTTCGAGGTCGAGGGAGACTTTGACGTCGAGGCAGTGCCGGCCGAGATCGAGGACATGGATCTGTACGAAGATGAGCTGGACGACACCTTGGCGGCGATGGCCAACGATCGATCGTGGAAGCAGAACAAAGACATGCAGCGAGCTGCTCGACAGACCCGGGAGTTCTTCCGGGGCAAGCCCGGGGGTGATGGAGCCCCGCCTTCCTCACGATTTCCTCGGCCAGGCGGTCGCGGTGGCGGCCGCGGCGGAGGACGAGGTCGCGGACGAGGACGAGGAGGCGGCCGGTCGAAACTCTCACTGGAGCAGCTCATGAAGGTGACGAAGTGCAAGATCTGCCACCAGAAAGGCCACTGGGGGCGTGAGTGTCCCAACAGGGGCAATGGTACGGACAAGCAGAAGGAGAAGAACACGGCCGCCAGACGAGAGCTGTCGGCCTACATGTTCGACGGCTACGTCTCCGGCCCGGCGGCGGCCAGCTTTCCGAGCTGGCGCGAGGCAGAGACCGAGCTCACCACGGAGGGCGT